ATTATTTTTTGTCCCTCTACTTTCAACTGTGCCTTTAGCTATTTAAGTCAACTCACTCCAGCCAAGTATCTTCAGGCCAAGCAAAACACTCACAAGAACTATTGTATCTATTCAAAATCATTATACGATATCTGTGTGGCCCTAAAACAAAGCTGTAAGTCTTTTTGGGAGAAGGAAGCCTGCAGGCCAAAAAAACAATTTTATAGCACGTTCTGTGTACTGTTACCTGTCTGAGATAGCAGCGGTGTGTAAGGGACTTTAGGTTCCATTGCAGTCATTGGTGGAGGCAACAAGGGATTGGCAAAGCTGCGCAGCGGGTGTGTCGGCCGAACGCAGGCGGTAGGAATCGTCCGGCTGGGAGCATCCTCATTGGTCGGATGTTCTGGCTGTGCGTGGGATATGACAGATGACTGCTGGGACTGAGCGGCTTCATTCACTGCTGGGAGAAGAACACATAGCGAGATGTAACCAGAGCGGGATTTATTTTGCAGTCAGAAATCAGCTGCACAACCTTCTTCCATAGAGTGCTATAAATAAACGGTTAGAAGCGATTTTATCTTTACAGTGCTGGAGGGTGAAACCAGCAGACGAGTTCTTGTATCTCTTGGGAGCCACTGACAAGATGTGTGAGCTAAGCAATGTCAGTATTCTAAAAGGACCTTAGAGAGTATGTAAACCCTAACAATGAACTTCTCTATTTGCTCCCTTTTGGCCTGTTAAATAAACCATTGAAAGCGTTTTGTTATATCTGTTCGATAAGTGCAAAATTAATACCTGTTGATCATGTCAGAAAATCAGAGCTGCCCTGTGCACTGTTCCTTTGTTATCTCAAGGAGAGTAATTAGCCCCCCAAGTTGTACTTACAGAATGATTAGTCTTGATATTGTGGAAATGGGAGTGTAGGTGGGTCTGAATAGTTTAGCAAAAATGCAACTTGGCAGGGCTGACACCACTCAGTGAACAAAAATGATGCATGTTGTCAGCCCACAACACGCCATAGAAGCTGAGTGCATTTCTGGCAGATCAACAGGTATTACTCTGCACCTGCAGGGTCTTTAAAGGGGCCAGATGTGGAAATGTGCATGATTTGAGATATGTACTGCATATGTGTTTTTTATATTTTCCTTCACATACACTTTAAAAACAACTGAATCTTCAATTAAAATCAGCTAAATACATTCCAGGTGCATCAGACCAAAAGGTCTGACCATGTCATACAGTTCATTTTCTTTACCATGCATCCCCAGCCGGAGTGGAAAAGCCTGTCCCCTGCTAGTATGGTGCAGAGAGAGACCCTGGTCTGACAGGCCCTACGTGGAGACTGAGCCAGAGATCTCCAATCAGCAAAGGTATAGGTCTGACTCAGTAGGGGGCGTGTCAGACCTCTGCAGAGTGACCACTGCTACCACCCAAAGAGCAAGGGTCTCCTCTACAGCATGCTTGCAGAGAACAGGCTTTTCTATTCAGGCTGTGGCTGCTTTCTAATGAAAACAAACTGTAAGACTTTGCATTTCTATTGGTCTGATGTACCTGAAATCACTATGATTAAAGGAGAATTATTGGGAGAGTAAAATGTACTCTTCCCAATACTTAGAGCCGGAGTGCGACACTTCTAGCTCTATAGATCCAGAGATGAGCGCTCAACAACCGCTGATCGCTCAGCTCCTGGTCTTCTCCCTGAAGAAAGTTGTGTCTGTCAGTCCCCACTCCTGCAGGGATTCCCACACTGGAGGGACAGACAGGGGAGGGGGTGGGCAGAGCCAGCTGTCAACCAGGGAGCAGGATGGATCCTGACAATACTGTTGGGATCTTTTCCGACTACAGCGCAGCTTTGCGCTTTCAGCATTCCGCTAGATGCTGACTTTGGGTCACAGGAGCACATAAGTAAATGTACTCCTTTGACCCACAAGAGGACTAACTCCAAAAAAAGGTTTGGCTTTAATTCTCTTTAAACTGAATATTCAATTGGACTTTAATGAACACCTGAGTTTTCAACCGTCTTGCGTCTTCCGACCTGTCAGCATTTGCCGAATATGGCTGAATTATCCATAAACCTTTTGAAATCTGCTTTACATCAGCCAACTGTATTTATGTTTAACATCTTTTAACAATAAAAAAATAACGTACAGTGGAGGTTATTACCAAATAGAACATTGCATCCCTGCCCCAAGTTCGTTAACTTAAATTACCCCCGATGATCGCTTAATAATTATTGAAGCCCATAAAAGTAATTGCCGCAAAATGATAGACAAAGCACTTTTTAAATGTGAAAGGTGAAAATGTTGCTCGGAATACTCGAGTCGTAACAAGGCAGCGATTGCAGAACAATTAAAAAGGTGCCAGGCTCTCTTTGAGGACCCCGGAGATAATTAATTATCCCCGATAATCGTCCTGCATTTTAACCAATAAAGACGTTTGTTGCCCCCCTGTGACAATCAGTCACGTTTCACACAAGCAATTTCTATGCATTGTATTTTAATAATAAAACCAAGGGATGTGAAACAAGCTTCTTTTGGCACAGATCACACTTGAGTGGCGAAGGGTCTTTGTAATTATTTTATGAGTAATTTAATTATAAACACCTGTGTAATCTGCAGCTACGGCAGGTAATATAGCGCTGTTACGCACAGTTGGTCGCGACTGATACTGGTATATATTAGTCACTTGTGCTTACAGAGTGTAAAAAAGTGGGAACCTGTAATTATACAAAGGGCCCAACTGTCCCTCAACTGTAGAAACTGTCCCTTTTTTTCCGCCCACCTTTTGCTCCTCCAAAGTTTCTTTTTAACTCTGGTATAAAGATCTAGAAAAAATAATGTAATATTCACCAAGCAGAGGAGTTTATATTGCCATACACTTTGAAACCACCTTTTGGATCATTGCATTGGATATTTTACCACTTTACTACCACTGAAAGTTTATGTGATGGACATGGTGGACATGTATTGGAGTGATGGACATGCATTTCTGCAGTGCTCAAGTGCTCTACAAGGAAGGTAAGCATCATGTGGTGCCCGCTGCTTCCTTGTCCTTACTCCCTCTCTGACTGTCGACCACTTTGCCCCTTCCCTGAGAAACCTGTTTCATCTGGGAAGTGGAGAACATATGACCACCGTCCAGAACTTCAATTCAGCCTATGGTGCGGAGTATCCAATAGTCAGACTTAAGTGCTGTCACATGGAAGTCAAGAGGAGCTGAAATGGTCCTGTGCAGGATTTGACCTTCAAAAAATTTAAACTTGCACAAGAATCCCAGGAAACTGAATTGGAGGATCTATTTGGCTGGCACATTAGGTTTAGAAACGAACCTTAAATTTTTCAGTACATAGTCTGGCCACAAAAAGCGACACTTTTTTTAACTTTAGATCTCACTATCAGCAGTCTGACACCTAAATTCTTTTTGTTACCCATCCCCTACACCAGCCTTCGTCAACCAGGGTGCCAAGGAAACTTGAGGTGAATTTTGTCCTTCTCAGATGTGCGTCTAAATGTTCACACAGTGTCATGGTACAGGTAGGCTCCTGATGTGAGGGGGGAATTCTGATGTGACAGGGGGGATTTTGATATGAAAGCACGACTCTAATTCAAAGGGGGGACTCTAAGGTGAAAGGGGGGATCCTGATGTAACACAGGGGCTTCTAATTTAAAGAGGGGTTCTGATGTGAAAGGGGGGTCACCTGATGTAATGAGGAGGCTCCTAATGTGAAGAGTGCTTCTGATGTGATACGGGGGATTTTGATGTGAAGAGGTTCTTAATGTGAAGGGGGGCTCCTAGTATGAGAGCGAGGACTCTGTTGTAAAAGGAGGGGGTCCCTGATTTGAAGGAGGGACTTTTATATGAAGAGGGAACCCCATTGTTTGTGTATTTGTGTGAGTCCCCACTAAAATCAATATCAGACCCCCATCTTGCATAAGGGTCTGGTATGGATTTTGGAGGGGCCACATGTCCTTTTTAAAAAAAAAATGTTTATATATATATATATACTGGGGTGCCTCAAGACTTTGTATTCTTTTAAAGGGCACAATGACTCTCTATACTATATCCTGATGACTAACAACTAGGGATGAGGGAAATTTTGCCAATTGAACCAAATACATTGGAGTCAACAGAAATGGAGAACTTAAAGTGGTTTATGGTGATTTTTAAGGGTAAAATGGTATTTAAATGACACCTGAGGGTTATTGAAGCTCCTTTCAAGTATCCTGCAACTGTTCATTGTGCCATAAAAAGACTCCTCATTATAATATGTTTTTCACAGAAAGAAAAAAACAGCTAGAAAAAGTAAAATGTAAAAACAGTGCACAAATTATGATCAAAAAAGGAGCTTAAAACATCTTGTAAAACTTTCAAGCCGCTGATCGCATTTCCTGAAGACATCACACAACATTTTCTATCGCTCTGCCATGTTCAAGGTGCGTGCGGTCACAACCACCTCTATCAAAGTGACCCTTTTCTCGCCTTTTAAAGGGCGGTTTGTTTCCTGCAAAAAATGTTGTGCGGTTTGTGATGTTGTTTGTTTCTGGAGCTGCGCAGCGTTTTGCCGCGAGCCTTTGAAGTCCCGCGCTTTTTAAGTCTAACGTGTCATACCTCAGGAGGAAGATAGAATTATTTTTTTTTAAATCACCTTCTGACTACACATGGCTTTGAAGAGAACAGAGTGGCGGGGTGTCTTACCCTATTACCTGGTAAAAGCTGCATTCTGTTAGGTGAATATACAAACATACACCCAACTGCAACACAGTTCAAAGAGTAACAACCATAGCTGAAGTGGGAAAAAAAAAATATCGACCAACAGTAAACTAAAGCCTGACTTTGTATAAAATGTCTTACCTCGACTAGGTCCGAACCCCCTATCCACTGAGAGCGTAGGGAAGGGTACGGGTCGAAGTGTGAATTGTGGGTGCGGATAGACACAGGTCGGTGACGGAAGGATTCCTGGATATTGGGCACTTTCTAGCGTGGGAACCGGTATAGCACTGACGACAGCTGTAAAATAAAAGAAAACGTCAAAAAAATTCCTATAGAATGTATTAAAACAGTTGCAAGTCTGTAGTTACAACACATAAAAGAAAAGCCTATATGGGACTTTTATAGTACCTTGTATACAGCATATGTTACGATATGGTGTATCGTTTTTAAAGAAACATCTTTTATTATGATTCTATCTATCTATCTATCTATCTATCTATCTATCTATCTATCTATCTATCTATCTATCTATTTATCTATCGTATATATACACAGGATAGAGAGATTCGCAATCCTTTTACAACTCTTGAATAGGATTGGGAAAGCATTAGATTAGAACCTCTCAGTGGCCCCATACGGAGCCATTAGGGAGAAAAGTGTAAGCTCCTTGAGGGCAGGGACTGATGTGAATGTGCAGTATGTAAAGCACTGTGTAAATACATATAATAAATACAATCTTCTGTGCTTGGCACTATCGAAAAAGTAGGCAAGGAAGGCCTTCAGTCATTTCAAGAGGCAACTTGACTAGGAGCAAGCAACATTGTCAGCTGAATGATGAAAACCTGCAGGGAATAAAACCTCAATGTATTGTGAGACTTCTAACCCAACACTATTTGGCCCAGGTACACAGTCAGCTGTGTATTTAGGTTTCCTGCTGCCCTAGGCAAGACGAAACTCGGCACCCCCATCTAGATTTGTCCCACCCCTTCCTGTTTAAGACATGACGCTTCTTCCTCCAGCCTGGAGCCGCTAAAGGTTCTTCCTCCAGTCACCCGCAGCCTCTGGCGGCCAGGCCGTGACTCCCTCGGCCCTGGCCCCGCCTAGTTTGCCTCACGGTAAATACGCCCCTGTATACAGTGTTAGGTTATGTGGTGGGCTGCCACTGTGGACCCCTCCATCTGAAAACGCTACCTGCGTTGCTGTCATACCAAACTGCTATCTTCAGTCCTGCCCTTTTTGCAGGTGAAATAAAGACACAAATGAATGCAGATCTGTATTTTATAATACAGCCTTAAATGTATTGTTTTAATATGAGCAGTGCACTGTAGGTGCTTGAATGTGACCTGGTATCAGCCCTGTACAGTGTAGCTCAGCCTGGGGGGAGGGAGAAGCAGCACATCAGCCAATGAGTTCATGTGCTGATAAGGAACATTCTGAGAGATGAGCTTCTCAATGTGCTGCTTTACCTTTCACTGTCCAGTCCCTGGCTGGGGGAGGAACAAGACCTGTAAGTGTTATTGAAAAGCAGCAGAGAGGTCTCCTCCTCTACCATGTGCAGCAAAGCTTCTACAGAATGGACAGAGATGCAAATCCTTTGGAAGCTGAATCAGCTCTCATATGACTTCTATCTCTCAGTTTCCTCATCTGCATGCCAGTTGCTAGTCAGTGACTCAAAAAGGAGTTTCCCTTTAAGTAACAAATTCAATTCATTGCCAATGCAAATAAAACAGCGCACAAAAAGTCTTCTGTATGGAAAATAAATCAAACAACAGAACATTTCCTTTATTCCTTTCTTTTTTTTTTTTTAGTTATTACTGGGAGATCGGATCTGATTGAAATCCTGAAGAAATAACTGCAGCTTGTTGACAATTGAATTCCAATGTGACACTAATGTTAAGAGTTTGCAAGCAGAAATGCTTTGCACAAATCACGTTGGCTTTTTACAACTCTGCAGTTCTCCATCACGGAGGCAATTTACTGCTGCCTGTCACATTTTATATTCAGTGAATGAATGTCTTTACATGGGGAAAGAGATATAAACAAAACAGATTTGGCCTCAACAACCGCTATGTTTTTGCGCGCCATTGTTCACGCTGTATCCCGGCATGCACTGCGTGAAATGGATTACTCGGAGGGGGACAAAAAATTGAATTACAGTCACTTAATGCTATCACTGCATCAACATAAAAGCAATTTTCTATCAATATGCGACTATTGCCGTTAAGACAGCTGATAGAAAAGCTGCATGGATAATAAATACATTTATTTATGGTGGACAATGTAGAGTTAACCGCTCGAGTACCGGCCTGTATTACCCCTTACCAGGCCCTCTGTGATAGTTTCACTGACAATTACTCGGTCACCCAACACTGTACCCAAATAAATTTTATAGCAGAACTCCAGGGTAAACATTTTCTTAACCATTGCCATGGGGCTACTCCTGCACTGCATACTCGCTTTCCACAGTCCATCCAGCGCTGGGGCCGGTCTCTGATCCACCGCAGGTTCCAGTTCCACAGTGTCTGTTCAACGTGCTCGCTCCCGGCTGCCCCGCTGCATCCATCCAGCTTCAGCGTTGCTCTCCGTCCGACCATCTGGACCGCAGACTTTAATACTACTTTAATTGCTAATTTTTGCCCAGGTTCCAAAATAACAAAGATATACTCACCTGATCCTCCAGGCCAGCTTGCTGTTAGACTGGTCTATTCCACCTTGCTCCCCCTCCATTGCAGTGGTCTAAGGCCCAGTGAGTCATCATGACCAACACACTGTGTGTTGAATGTGAGAACACTGAGGGACACACCATCGCTGCAGCAGAGGAGAAAAGGAGCTCCAGGGACCGGTCTAAGAGCAAGTCAGCTCGGGGGATCGGGTCAGTATAACTTTGTTATTTTTGAATCTAGACAAAAATGAGCACTTAACCCTTAAAGTGCGGAGGTAGCCCAACCTCAAGGGTTAAGAACATTTTAACCCGGGGTTCTGATTTATATTATTTTGATGTGAAACACACACATCTTTCCTTTAGTGTTATTTAATAAGCCCCGGCTTTTATTCTATTTTTACTATAAATGCAAAAATGTTGAAAAAACTGTTTACCGTACTTCCTGCTAAAATAAAAATGCCAGGACAGTGTGAAGTCCCCAAAATTACCCCTTTTTGGAAATTTTCATTATTGTGATATGTGGCTGGTGTGATATGCGGCTGATGTGATATGGGTCTAGAATGATATGAGGCCGGTGTGATTTGGGTCTAGAATGATATGAGGCTGGTGTGATTTGGGTCTAGAATGATATGTGACTGGTGTGATATGGGTCTAAAATGATATGTGGTTGGTGTGATATGTGTCTGGTGTGATATGAGGCTGGTGTGATATGAGGCTGGTGTGATATGAGGCTGGATTGATATGGGTCTAAATGATATGGGGCTGTTGTGATATAATGGTGTGATATGATGTTGGTGTGGCTGGTGTGATATGGGTCTGGATGCCCAAAGGTACCTACAGACAGTGCAGAACGTGACCGAACCTGACCTTTTATGGTGAGATAGGGTAACATTCTGGTCTGTAGGCCCTACTCAAAAATGTTGTTCCTGGAGTGCCTTGGTGTGACTTTACATCACTTCAAAATCTTTCTTCTGGTAGGGAGTGGCCCACCCCATTGTTGGAAAATGTCTAAGCTAGGTTGTCTACGGCCAGCTTGACCAACAGAGAGGCTGTGAGAATTAAACTCTTTAGTCAGTAGATTATTATTTAAGACTGTCAAATACAATTTGGTTCTTGCGGTGGAGAATGTGGTTTTAGATTGAGAGTAGAAACCTGCAGAAACCCTGGAAGAACTTTCACATTCTATGCTAATGGAATCCTTGCTGAATAACACATACACAAAAAATTAGGACTTGTTAGCCTCCTGCCCATATTGGTTGTTTAAGCTCAGTTACAAACCTACTTGCCACAACCTATTCTGGTCATTTCAAAAAATCTCTTTAGCCCAGATGGTGCGGCAGCCATTAATTTTCTGGGAAGACGGAAGGCCCTACCACCTCTGTCCTTGACGTGAACTCGTCATAAAAGAATTGATTTCCTTAAAAGCGCAAGGTGAGGGAATCCATATCCTGCCTACATTGACCCCATTAGTTCCCTTTCACCATTACATCACAGAGAAATGCATGCTAGTGTTTTGAACAAAGAAATATTACAGCCTTCTGCTTGCCCGGGAAGTCTTGAAAGGGGATTTACACAAAGGAGAGAAAAAAAGACGGAAAATAAAGGTTGACGCGTGGGAGCTTGTAAGCACTTCGACAAAGAGGTCTGACCTATTTTGCTGTCGTCTCCCCTCTTATCATCGCCACCTGCGTTTTTAAAGATCAAAAGAAAAATTCCTTTATGCTAGTCGCCATGTACTCTACATTTTTCCAGTGACGGCTAATGAAACCGGCGCCTCGCATGGCTGAGGAAATACACCGACCACACAATTCATCCCCTGTGTTTTATCCCCGGTGTAGATTAAAGACAAACTCCGCTCTCCCTATTGATTTTGGCTTCCAGTACCAGCCTGTAGCCATCCAATATCTGCAGAACATCTGCTGCCTTACCTTTTGCACAAATGACCTTTTCATCGTATCCAATGCCTGACTGAACTGCCTCACATGCAGCAAAATACTTGTTGGTTCCCTCAGTTTGAAGATGGCTTTTTTCTAATTCTCAGACTGCAGGGCAGAGACACCAATCCTGGCAAAGGTGAAAATGTTTTGTTTTGCTGCTGCAAACTAAATAGAGCAGTTTAGGATCCAGAAATGGTAGCTTCTACTTGGGGCTTTTCATACAGGTATTTTGCTACCTAATCGGTACCCTTTACATGTACTAAACTGATGGGGGTTTCTTTGGTTTGGGGCATACTAGGCCTTTTTACTAGGAATGCACCGGTATCAAGTAACGTACTCGGAACAAGTACAAAGAAATAAACTTTTCGAGCTCCAAGACTAGACTAGAGAAAAATTAAAACGTTAGGTGGCAGCTGTCATTTGTAAGGAGCACACGGAGCTCCTGGGATTTGTACATCTCTGTTTTAATGTATGGCTATATGGACAACAGTTTGAAGATGCCAGACCATCACACCTATCTTTATGGCCCCTCCAAATTACTGAGTTCAGGTATTTCCAGTGAAGGGTACTGTTAATGCTACAGCATATAGAGATATTTTACTTTTACAATCATGTGCTTCTAAATCTGTAGTAACACTTTGGTGAAGGCCCTTTTCTTTTCTAGCATGATTGTTCTAGATATTGTGTGCCAGGTCTTCTCATCCAACACCAGTACCTCATAAATGCTGTTTTGGCTGAATGGAGAGATATTCCTACAGACACCCTCCAAAATCTTGCAGAAAGCCTTCCCTGAACAGTGGAATCCCTCATAGCCACAAAAGAAGGGGGGAGGCAGCTTTATATTAAAGGAGAACTATGGGGTTAAGGCTTTTCCCCATAGTTCTCCTTAGGGTAACGGGAGGACACAAACTAGCATCCTCCCGTCACCCTAGGGTCAGTATACCGCGAGCTGTAGCAATTATGCCGGGATCCGCCTGAGTACATTTTGCTATATAGATTTCCAGACCTGACATCCTAAAAAAGTATGTGCTTGTGCCCAACCCCTCATCTAGACTGACATTATTGCTTATATAAAGCAAAACATGTGAAGGGCCTGTTGCCTTATGCGAGCCTTTTCTCCTTCTTCAGCTTTGATCTGCTATGGAGGAAGCGTGCCCAAGCACAGATTTATTTCCTTGAATTCTTCCCCAAGCGTCTGATAGAAGCATGGGCACTCCATAAACATTCAGTGATGTTTTTTCCCCCCAGAAAGGGTTGTTGTTCTTCAGAAAGGTGATAGAGGTTATATTATGCAGCTTGTTTAGATGTAATCAGTGCTAATTAAAAGGTTTTGCATTACACGGATTTCTGAGTCGCCACTTGCTGGTCAGAAATGGAATTGCAATTTATTTTATTTTTTAACGGACACTTACGTTGATTGTTGGCCTGTGACTCCATTGGAATCATGAGCTTGGCCCTTGTTGCCCTTCTGGCAGCTAGAGAGCGCTCTAATGTGGAAATGTTACTCCCAACTTCATCTGGATCTGGACCTGGGGGAAATATTCTTTCTTAGTAGAGTTCTCAAACACAATTACCAATAATACACTTCACACATATCAATGTTTAATTCTACTTCAATTAAATATCATAGCCTGAGAGAGAAGAGAGTATAGTTATATTCATATTAGACATGGGTCATCATTAGTCCCTCAGATACATGCAACACAGAATAATGCAATAACCTAGACCCGTTTCCTATGTAATGAAAATGAAAGCTGAACTCCAGGAAGACTGCTAAATACACAGATGAAATACATATATGAGAGCTGTTTTACCTGCCAAATGATTTATTTTTTTCTGTTCATGCAGTCCTGAGATCTATACAGCTGTGACTGGAAGGGGATGGGACCTGCTCTTTTTCTTCTGCAGTTTCACTGTCACTTACAGGTCCCATTCCCACCACTACTCTTTGACTGGAGTGTAAATAGAGAAGCAGAACACTGTAGAGCTCATCTGTCCCATCTTATTCCTCCTGTCACTCACCATACAACAGTATATCTATAGAGAAGCACCTAGGGCATAAGTATGTTAGGACTCCCCTATCCTCATCTCCACATGGGGGTAGGGGTTCTGTAGTCCACAGAGGTAAACTCTGGGCAGGGCTGATAACACTGCTTAAGATAACACTACAGAATGCACAGGGCAGCACCGGCTTTTTAGGAGGATAAAGAGTTATATTTTTGCACTTGTGGAGCAGATAAAACAAAATGGTTTCAACTGTATATTTTGCAGACCCAAAGAGGGCAGATAAAAGAAGCTCACCATTAGGGTTTACAAACCCTTCAAGTAACATGTTTTGCCTATTATTACCTTCTCCTGCTCTGAAAGAATTGCTGCTGGCTTCACATTTCTCAAACTGAATGGGAAGGTCAGCCTTCATTATAACAACCTGAGCAGTCTCAGTGTTGTATTGAGGAAAGTTGCAGTGTCTGAATTCCCCGAGAAGAACTGAAATAGTCTTTTCTTCTATCTTCTATGCAGACTTTCAGTAATGAGAAGATGATAGATGCAGGAAATTAGACTACTGGGCAGTTTGCAGTTTGCACACCGATGCTGACTTCCATATACTTAGACTACTACTGCAAATGATAATCGATTTTGAAGGAATTCCAATAAGTTTGGTCTATTAGTACAGCTTACCGGAATGTGAACTTTTGCTGCCCAGCTGAGACTCTGATTGGCTGTGGCTAACAGGCGTGATGTCTTGACAGCTTGGCCGGGGGGAGTCACGGCCCTGAGTTTCCGATCCAGCTGGCTTCTCTATGTTCTTCATCTCCATCTCCTCATGGTGGATCCAAAGATCTGGAGGCCTAAGTTCCTTCTGGCTGCCTTTCCTCTTACTAGCGCTGTGTGTGGCCCGTTTTCTACAGAAAAAGAAAACAAATTCTAAAAAGAGAACATGTGGAAAATGTTTAAAGATGTATTCCACCCTAATTAAAAAGTAGGATATTATTATGAAACATGGACCTGTTACCAGATATAATCAACAGGGATGAGCTCCGGTTTGGTCCGTACCTGAGTTCACCCGAACCTGGAAGTGCAAGTCCAATCAGCTGCAGCTAGGATATTCCCTGCCCTACAGCTGCAAGCAGGGCCAGATTTACTCTCTCTGCTGCCCTGAGGCCAGGTACCTCAATGCGCCCCCCTTCCCACCAAACCCCACCCCCATGGAAAATGGCAGACTTACAGGCTGCATACAAGTGATCTCGTCGACATCACCGAGATCACTTGTACAAAAGAAGCGGCGGCTTCCCCGCTGTACATTTAGCTCTGCTTGCCCAAAGCAGGGCTAAATGTAGAAAAAAACTACCCGCCCGGCGCCCGGAACTGCAAGTCATGGACATCGGGAGATAGGAGTTCCACACCCCTGCTGTCCCTCTACTCTTTGCTGCCCCTCTACTCCCTGCTGCCCCAAGGCCGGGCCTTGGTTGGCCTTGTGGGAAATCCGGCCCGGTCTGCAAGTAAAGAAAGGGTTGGGATGCTGGCGACATCATTGATCTTATATCCGACATGACCATAGCTGGTCAATGACATTGGCCTTACGTGGCCACAAAAGTTTAATAATGTCACCAGCAACCCAGCCCATTCTTCGCAGGCTGCTGCAGGACAAGGAATGCCCCACCCGCAGCTGATTAGCTGTCACAGCATCCCTGTAGACTGAATCTGAGCTCATCCCTAATAATCAATTCAACAGCAAAAGTAGATACAGAAACAGTTAAATCCTCAGTCAGTTTTTTTTTTTGGTGTGTGAAGATTTCCCTTTACATTTCCATTCCTTTTCCTTTCCCGGAGACACAACAGGGAGTGAAAAAAATCTCTAACATAGATAAAAACAAAAACAAATTTTAAACATTTCTCATTGGAACAAGTGTCCCCATTGGATGAATTCCTCTATATTTTAGGAGGGTTTTTTTTTGTCCAGACAAAACCTACTTGGAAATTATATATAGGTGTGACCATGCACCTTAGATACAAATTCTAATATCTTTCCATGTCTCTGGCAGTTAGAGGCTTTGAGAAACCATGAAAACTACCGAGTCACAGTTATTATTCCGATATTACAATGGGGTACGGGTATGTGAGCAAAATAGATCAGACCAATGCTTTGTAGAATTAGGTTAAGTCAGTGTTGAATACAGATGCTCAGGATGGACTTTGAGAACTTTTCTGATATTGATGTTAAATAAAGTTGACATTTGGATTCCCAGGGGACTGGGTGCCAGGTGCCATGCCACTTTAGCACCAGCTGCTTACTGATCCAGAGTGTAAGTTTTACGCTGGAAGTCTCCTGGGTGATTACAAGGACTTCCAATGACAACAATTCATCCGAAACTCTGCATATAGAAAGAAATATCCCCGGATTTCCAGTTGGGGATTCAATTGGTTACCGGAAAGAAAAACAAAACCTTGTCTGGAGGGCAAAATATCTTCCGTGTCAGGGCATCAAAACTTTTCACATGCTTATTATTTATCCATGAGTAGATGATACTGTCTGCATTGGAATCCTCCAAAGGAGAGCGGCTGCCAATCATAACCATATATGCAAGATAACGAAAGTCTCCATCACATGTACAGCTGAATTCACAGCAACAATGTTTACTTGCTGTTACTCACATTACATTTA